AACCGCGAAATTTATTATTTTCTTTACACGTTATACGTTATGAGTTTATGAGTAATGAACAATACGTCAGGCTGATTTTCATAGTTTGATGCTAACGTTTGAATATTATCCTGAAATTATTCGGCAAATTTGCAATTGGTTTAAATTTTTAATCGATCTATGACAAACATTGAATTCAATCGAGGCGAGCAGGCAAGTAGAATCCAAAGTAAATTTAACTTTACTATAATTTTTACCAATGATATTATTATTTATTGAACAATTGTATTAAAAACTTGTCAGTGTGGTTAATACAGTTTGCAAAAGAAAATTTAAGTTTGCCTGAATACTCATCATATATTTTCACGGGTTTGAATCATTCTATTGTAAAATTTTTGTTGGCTAACATTTTGAAATAAGAGAATGTCAGTTCGTCGAATACCAAAGGAATTAATTCGATTTCAATAATATCATAGCTGAGAAATCGATCATTGTGTACAATGTGATATTACCATACAATAATAAAAGTAACGATTTGTCGAGCCTTGCGTTATACTAGCCCTGTGCGAGAGCCACGTGATACGAATCTCTTCGAGAGGGGCAAAAACACACAGGAACAGTCCATAAACGCGCGCGACTCTTTTCCCGCAAATAATACGTACACTCTATCGTGGTGCTCTGCCCGGCCAACTGTCACTGGGACTCTTGCTATTCTTTTTTGCAAAGTGTAAACTACCTATATAATTTTCTTGACTCGCGTGTTAGAATGTTTTTTCATTATATACATAAGAGTATTGAAAAACCAATTAAGGATTTTGAAACCTTGGATCTAACAACGACGATCCGGCAAATAAAGTTCATAATTGCGGCCAAACATGGTATATCGTCGGATGATATCGAGCTTTTTCATCAGGCCAGACTGATGGAAGACGATCGCACGTTGCAGGACTACCAGGTTAGACGTGCAGACGTACTAAAGGTAAAATGATTGGTTTATTTTATTTATTCCCATTTTTCTAGAGAATTTAGATTGAGAGTGTAGACATCTTCTTATGTTTTATGTGTAGATGGTGTTGCTGAAACAGTCTCACGATTATACAGATAAATCCATAGGACCAATTAACGGAATTGAAGTTGGTAGCTCTTGGCAGTCCAGATTACTTCTGTCTGAAGCTGGGGTGCACAAACCTACGCAATGGGGCATTTCCGCAGATCCAATAAACGGAGCTGATTCGGTTGTTTTGTCAGGTGGATATGAGGATGTCGATTTGGGTGATGTTATATATTACACTGGCTCCGGTGGTAGAACATCTGGAGTACAAAACGATCATCAAATCCTAACGGGGTGCAACCAAGGGTTAGCAAAAAATTGCGGTGATCTTCTGTATCGGAGTGAAGGTGTCCTGGCGCCAGATTGGAATGACTGTAAATCTGTTAGAGTTGTTCGACGAGTCCAATATCCTGACGAACGAAGGCCTAACAGTACGAGAACAAGTTACCGTTACGACGGACTCTATAGAGTCTGCGGATACTGGCCTTTTGTAGGACGTCATCAATTCGTCTTATGGCGCTTTGCGTTGATAAAAGTCGGCATCAGCCAAATGGAGGTATTTACAGTAAAAAACGTAAAGCTAACTTTAACTAATAGTAATAATATATTGAAGAGAGCGCGAGTAGAAAGGAAGAGCTGGGAGTGTCAAAATACAGCAGCTGCCGAGGTGACGACAAGTGGCTTCTAGTCAGAAGTCAGTAGTCTCATGAATATAAATAAATAATTGGGCTAGAAACAATTAGCATTTTAATTATGATTTGAAAATGAGCAACCAATTTCAAGCCTTAATTTTCTCCAATTTGTATACCTTGAGCATATGCGAATCGATGTTTAATAATAATAATGATGCTTTTATCATTCTTAATGTGTTTCATTAATCGCAAATTTGTTTTTTCTTTGTTACAGAAGTACAAGGATGTGCAAACATTCTTCCTTAGAGACCGTGACCATTTCCAAAACTATCTGAATACTCGTGGAGGCGAAAAATACACCATTCAAAATTTCAATAAAAAATGTTCTTTTTTTCCACGCGGTTGTATTTAAAATTAAATTCATTTTTTCAATATTTATTATTTATATTCTTATGTAAAATTATGAGTTTTTTACCAAAGTAAACTTTTGGGTTTTTTATGCCGTTGAGCTTTTTCCCAATATCAAAAATTGTTGTTCTTTTGTTTATAACCCTTATATATATATATCGTAAACTTTGTCTTCATGTCATCTCAGATATGACGAATTATTACGCTACAATTCAATTATTATTAGGACGGATTTGCAACGAAAAACTCGATTTGTAAATAATTATCAAATAACGCATACACTATAACAGTGTTTTTTATTTTATAGTATCAGTTTTGTGTTTCGTTTTTCGTCCACCTCCCAAAAATCTATGTCCGCTGAAACTCTCGGTCAGATTCGTTCGCGCGTTTAGATTTTGATCATCGTTATTAAATAATATTATTTTTGACGTACACATTGTTGAGCCATAAATTTCGATGTTATCTCCCTGGCTTATGTGAGTCAAGCTTCGTTGAATCGATTGATTCCATATATTTCTCTTTATTTTTTCCTTTCTTTTTGTTTTCAGGCTAGTCCTTTCCCCCGATAACTTCGTCTACATCGCGATGTATACAAGCTTTGATAGATGAAAATTCCTGATTCGCTTCACTGGCTTATACGAATATTGCATATTTTTTTTCTTTCCATAATTGATTTTAATTCGTGCGTTGGATATACAGTATAATTTATCGTACAGAGTCTGATTTTCAGGACAGCCGCGTTATTGAAGTTTATCATACACATCTGGCCCTTTCAATTTACCGAGACTACGGTTTTCAGTTAAAGAAAACATCAAATGCTCGCTGACAAAAAGAAGAACAAGCCCTCAAAGCTTTTTATATCCCAAAGCTTCGTTCAAAAAAAATCTCCTTCGGATCGTCTCGAGCTCGAAATCAAAGATACACATTATTTTTTCGATACGTACGTTACAGACCTTATATATACACCGCATCCTCGTACGCTGCACGCCACGAGAAATATATATACGAGAGAAATCGCTAGAGTATATCGAGTTCAAAGAGAGATACCTCCACCGCCCGGTATATAGAGAGCGCAAGCTCTGGTCGCTCTTCTCGGGGTTAAGGTCGTGCGAGCAGTCAAGAGACAACGGTACAAACTTTTTTTGCGGTCGAAATCGAAACGGACACACGATCGCGAAGAAGCTGCGCTACTGTCCGACACGGGCTTCGACGCCTACATAATATACAGCGCGCAACGACGAGAGAAAGAGGAGGACAGTGGGAGCGTTGCTTTCACATAATGATACTAAATAATGCAATCGAGTCACGTCTCGTAACGAGAAATTGGCCGAGTGTATATGGTATGGCTGTGCGAGTACTCGAAAAAACTCGAGTATTCGAATTTTCCCGACTCGACTCGAACTCGACTCGAACTCGGCGAGTCGAGTTCGAGTCAAGTAAAACTCGAAAAATCGGATACTCGCACAGTCCTACTAATTAAATCATGTGGACTGCGCAAGCCCGCGATTTTTAGATTATGTAACAGTGATTTTCTTTGCTCCTTGTATAACTCACAATAATCCCATTAGTGACGACACGCCGCTACTCATATATAGCACACAATTGATTATATTTCGGAAATGGTTTGGTTAAATTTCCTGAAAGTTCTCACACATATGAATAGCACTGTCAATAATAAAATTTAAAGTTTCATTGATCAACATATTGATAATCTACTATATGGATGATGAGGCGATCGAAAAATTTGAGTTTTCACTCTTTCGATCAGGAACTTTTCTCCTACAGAACATAAGGCTCCTACGAATTCGTAGCAAGATTTCAATCGTTCAATGCTGACGTTAGATTGCTGATTTAGCCTTGCATTTTCTAAAGTAATTTCTTGTGAGGTACGATTGACAATTTCGACTGTTTAATATAAATTTTCACACATTCCTGTCATTCGGATAAGCAAGGGCTAAATTGTAAGTAAATGCCGAAATAGTTACTAATTCTCAAAATAAATTAAAACACAGTTTCGATGCGTATTTGTGGACATTGAGAATTTTGTCGAGTAGTGTCTCATTCATACTTCTATTTAGTCAAACAATAACCACGCAATATTATTATTTCATCGTTTCAGAGCACGTGTTTTAATGAAAATTTTTTTAAATAATTAGCATGAGTTGTTCGAGCCTTTTTTGTTTAGTTTAATCTTGAGCCTCTGTAGATTCAAGAGGAATCAAATGGATATTTATTAGTTGGGATACGAGAGATTTGACCCAGACAGAGCATGGACGAGGTGCACGAAGTTCGAGGCATACAGTTCCGACAACCGAGTCGAATGCGATACAAGTGTCGCTCATTGAAACGCGTGCCTACGTTGAAATATCGCAATAAACGAATCATGCAAATAATCTTTGTTATACGTGTACACCGAATGAAGCAATTATGATTATCGATGACCATCGAACGCGCAGCCACGCGCGCGCGTCTCGCAGCGAATAACAAAGGCGAGCGAAAGATCAGGAAGATCGATCGTGAGATGCATTTACAATTCTTCTTCTTTTTTTTTTTTTTTAATGACTCTCGCCACTATTTATCAATTCGCTCGCGATCGAGCGCCTCCGTTGGCTCTTTTTGTTTTTGCACGCGCGAGATGTAATACTCTTCTCGCGTGGAGGAGCGTGTTGCATCATCGTCGCGTACTCGCGCGTCACGTTGTAGCGCCGAGAGTGCAAGGTAAAAATTACTATTTAAGATCGTACTTTACTGCCGCGCGCACTTAATGTATGCGGCCTTCGAAATCCATCGAAGAGCACGGAGTGGATCTTTTTATCGGCTAATCGCTCGAAATTTTCTATCGTGTATATATTTACGAGGATCGTGAAATGCAACACTGGCTGCTAGATAATGTACGATAATTATGAATGTCCACCGCGATTAGCATAAACAACTCGCGCGTTATTCATCGATCGAATTGTAAAACAATCCAATGCGTCGCGCTGTGTCTCGTGCAAGTCGAAAATGAACCGAAGAAACGTCGATTGATATTTACAAAATGTAAAAATTTATTATCTACGTATACAGTTCAGCTCCTCTCGACGGCGAAACGCGGAAGTAACGCCACGTCGACGTGTTCGTCCGGCGAGGGCGGCGGGGCAAAGTCCAGATCGATCTTCTTCGCCTGCTTGTCGACGCACTTTCCATTGATGCAATGCTGAATTCACGAAACAGAAAAAAAAATAAAATTAAATAGATATCGCAATTATCGATACAAGCACGTATAGACAGACTCACGTGATTCGCGCCGCAAGGCGATCCTTCCGCGGCCGGCGCGAGAGACGAGCAGCCGTCGTCCGTGTAGCACTCCAAATGCACGCAGACCGACTCATTTTTCTGTATACACAAAATGTAATTATGTATAATTCGAACGAGAAGACATAAAAAATTACTTCCTCGTGGAGGAAGCTGTGTAATGGGCTTGAAAACGAGATTTTGAACCAGGCATCCCGGGACAATTTGTAAACCAGATTGAATTTCCAAAAAATTCTTCTTCGGTCAGCCTTCTCGGCTTTTTTTTCACTCAACATACACATAATATATCGTTAACGAATGTCACTTACTTCGCACGCATAGGTGCCGGAGATTCTGTCGCACTGCTCGTCCAAGGAGAGAATCTTGCCCGGTAGCACCCGAGGCAGCGCGACTCCCGCCGGTCGGTCGAACACGCACTCGGATCTCGGCGAGCTGTTGGAAATTTCAATCCATTTTCGTAATAAATAAATTAAATCGATATAACAAGTCAATATCTTTATCAAATGAGAAACTTGCTCGAAAAAGTCCTGAAAGTGTTCCATGCTGCACTGCGACCACTTGAAGATGTTGTTCGTGAGCAGCATCATGCCCGTCATTATGTAGCCCTCGGCCTCGGGGCAGAAGGTCTTGTCCGGCTGCTCGTGTCCGTCGTGCGGTATTCCTAATCTGTATCATGAGAATTGTAATCGCACTTTTTTCGCGCGATATATCATAAATTAAGGATGACTGTAAAAAACTCACAAGTGGCCGACCTCGTGGGCGGTCGGCACGATTCCCACGTAGCCCCCGTTGTCCTCGACCATGCCCACGGCTCTCACCATCTTGTCCTTGAGACTGACCGAGCAGGCGCCGCCGCGGTACGCGTAACCGGCCGCCTCGCAGTCCAGCGTCCCTCCGAACGGATCGCGATGGCACAGGTTCAAGCTATATATACACACAACACATGGATGATTATTATATCGATATCCGCGATATAGATAATATTATCGCGCACCTCGTCATGACCACGACCAGGTCGAAATCTCGGTCCAGGACGAATCTGTGCAGGCCGTCGTCCATCAGCTCGCGGTAGTAGTACCTGGCCATGTCGTCGAGGGCCTCGTCCGCGTCGAAGTTCGGACTCGTTCTCGATCCCACCCGGTGCTTTTGTATGTAAGGTACGCCCGTTGGATTCTAAACGTACAGCGCAATGTACGTATAATATATCACGTGTATATAACGAACGTCACGTTGTGTTGCTCACCTTCGCCACGACGACACCGGCCAAGTTCAGTCTTATCTCCGGATCCGAGAACACGCGAAATCTCAGATCGACGGCGTTCCAGTAGGACAGTATGTAACTCTTCAATTCGTCGATCGGCTGGAGCGAACTGATGATAATGATTATCGATTATTATCGAAAAGAATCGTATATATGTATATCGTCATACTTACGCCTGCTCGTCGTAATCCAGCACCACGAGTACTTGAGGATAGGCGATTTTCGGCTTCTTCCTCTTCGCGTCGCGCTTCGAACGACTGGATTTTTTTCTTTTCGTTTCTACCGACAATAAAGAAAATCGAATCAGCGTCGTCATTAATTACACCCGTATACGTATACACGCTGCAGACGTGTCTCACCGTCTCTCGCGCGACCGAGCCGCGGCGTTTTCTTCTTGAACACGACGTGATAGTGCGTGCGCCTGAGCGCCGGATGAATAACCGTGCGATTGGATTGCGGAAGCTGCGTCGTGACGGCGACGACGCTGCGCCTCGATCTTGAGATCTCGCCGCGTAACCTTGCCGGCAGAGGACGAATGACAAGATCGTCGCCAATGGTACCCTCCTGTCATAGCATACACACACGTGGAGATCGCCGATTCGATTACTCGAAGATAATTGATTTGAGAAAAAAAAAAAAAATTGTATACTCACGAAGAGCATCTGGCCGTCGTCGTCGTAGCTCGTCTTCAGAGCCGCTAAATTATTCGGATCTTGATAGTATCGATCCATATCTTGAAAAGCCTGCTCGCGCGTGGGAATACACGTTTATTTAATTTCTTCGATCGTCAATTGTATCGTGTTATCGTTTATATTAATTAATGTGCTTTACGCGCGCGACTTACGTTACGAATGCGCCGGTATCTGAGTCCGAGCGGTGAGGACCTGTCGCCGCCTTTGACGAACCAGATCGGAGTGTTGTTCGAGGCCAGAATACCCTTGGACGGCTCGAGGTACAGCTTGATGTCGCGGCTCAGCGCGCGTATCTGCAAGATTCTGTACTCGTGGTCGCCGCCACCCTCCGGGCTCCTCTCGTGCACGGCGTGCGAAACGGGCACCACGTCGTACTCGGGAACTAAAAAAAATTATCCAAATTCAATATCCGTCATCGTCAAATAATGTCAGGGTTTATCGATTCTCACTCTCGTCGTGATTGGCCGTTGAAAAAGTCGATCTGACCTCGTCGGCCGTCATGCGATTGTGAATCTGCAATACATGATCCAATCGATGCTTTTCTCAGCTCCGAGTGTTGATATAATAAATAAATGATCGTACCTCGAGTGCGTTACCAAATGCCGCGATAACCAATGTACTCCACAGATACAACGGTACCATCTTAATTCGAAGAAAAAAGAGCGACGTCCCCCTGCGCGCGAAGAATCGTCGAAGCGTCGTGCCCGGGACGCGATTCGAATGTGCCTGCACACGACGCGGCGCGCCGAGTGCTATATCGTCTGCACAGTGCACACGTGTAAACAAATCACGAACACACGCGCGCGCACACGCGTCACACGACACACAAAGAGAGAGAGAAATGGATTTTACACCTCTGAGGCTATAAAATACAACTGCTTCGCGGCTACTTTATTGGCTCTCTCTCTCTCTCTCTCTCGCTCGCGCCGATAACAAAACACACATCGCGCATATATGCAACTGGTGCGAATATCGACTAGCTTCTGCCTCGTATAGCTTCCTCGATCCATCCGCTTTTGTTGAAGCATAAAAAAAAAAAAATACCGAACGTATACCCGCACCAGTTGCATAATGCACGCGGTATATAATAATCGTACATTGTAAAAATGAAAAATATACATCGATGCGAATGATCGCGCTGCGGGCCGCTGATGCATTATCTAGCGCGACGATGCATTATTTCGAAAAGTAGCTGCGTGCGCGGCAGCAGCGACGACGCCACAACAGGCCAATACGCGTGAATAATTTTTTTTTCCTTCGTTTCAACTACTCGAGATGATGACGCATCTCGCGCGCGCGCGCGCGGAGCAATGATCCTGTAAAAATGTTATCGAGCAATTAACTTTAATGGCGTTGCATCGCGCTGGTTTTTTTTTCATTCCTTATTACTTTGTTTTATTTATTCGTTTGAAAAAAAAAATTTTTTTTTTAATTAATTAATTAAAAGTTTGACTCGTTTCTGGCTTGCTGTCCGTGTATGCCGGGAGTTGCATTTTATACGGCCGCGTAGTTATAAAAATAAAGCCGTACGTCAATTAGCATCGCTCTAAAAAAAAGCGAATCGTGGCCTAGTGAGTTTTTATGATTCAGGAAAACGGCTACTGCCGAATACTCTTATAAGGTTACTGCTATTCGTACAAAAATTTGAATGCAGCTAAAAATAATCGAATTAAATGTTCCACATTTTTTCATCAAATATTTAAAGTTTTAATAGAAGCATCGTGATTTTTCACCAAACTTTATGCATAGTACCCGATGGCATAACGTCTTGATTAAAAAGTAATTTACAATCCGAGAGTATAGGCATTATGTCAGGCGCAAGCTGCGTTAATGACTGCCCGAGAGTGAAACAATATATAGTTATGCTTTAATTGCAATTTTAACATAATAACGAGCTAATCTTGCAAGCGGTAATTAATCTCGGAATTGTTTTCTCAAACTCAAGCTCGTGGATCGTTGTCGCGAAATTTCTTAATCTTTTTAAAAGCTTTCGTTAGATTTTTTTTTCATAGTAACGTACGCTTTTCTAAAAGTCAAGCCATTTTTTCACGTTTCACTGTAAAATATCGAAAAAATACTGAAGTCCGAGTAACTTGGCAAAAAATGCTCAATATTTTGTGGATGGTAAATTTTCTTCGATGTACAGTGTCCATTAAAACTGAACATATACTAATCAAAGATATAACGTTTTAAACCGTACTTAGCCCCGATCATGTATGTAGTACATACTGCAATTCTGTGTCTTATGAGGTTATCCTTGTGTTAAAATGATTTGCAACAAGTCTCACACGCGAAGGGTTTGCTACGTGAAAGTAAGTGAAACCGTACTTAGATTTATACAATTATATCTCCTTTTCCACTTGCAGATTTATAAATACAGGTACTCGCCACCTACCGGTGGAGCCTGAAAGTGATATTATTATATTTGCAATGCTTGAAAAATAGTCTCTATGTTTTGAAACAGTTTAATCGTTATTTTCAGGAGGACATTTGAAATCATATTTCTAATATGACATTTTTGTTTATTTAATGACCAATGAACATTTTATGACGATATAAATTTCGTGCCAAGTATCATCATAGATTGGAAAATGACTCTTCTTCAAATGAGAATATTAATGTACTTCGAATGAAATCGTCTTTTGACTTATACTAAGACTTTGTCCCTTACAGATTTATAGAAAAAGATACTCGCCCTCTAGTGGTGGAAGCTGTTAATATCATACTTTAAATGGTTAAAAACTGGTTTGAACGTTTCGAAACTGCAGTTACATCGCCATTTTCAAGTCATTTAAAATTCGCTTTATATTTAAGCAACGTAATTGTAACAGAAAAATCACTTAAACGAGCCAACTAATGGTAAAAAGTTTTAAAAAATTGTTAGTTGCCGTTTTTTGATCATTAAGCTTATTATCAATGCTAAAAATTTCTTGAGATTTTAAAGTATATTTTCTTTTTGAATCAATACCTTATCCCGAGTAAAATCTAAACGAAAAAACTTTTAGCGCCATAATTAATCAAAGATAAAAGGATCAGGACGAGGGAAAAACGTAAAAAGGCGTCTTATCGGTTACGAATGCGAAGTGGAAATGCTCGCTCGAGCTTCGTGCTGGCGCGCGCAAAGGTGAAATCTCATTTGGCCGAAGGGTCTATCCCTCTCTCTTCCTCTGTATATATAAGATACAATTACGCCGAGTTTGCCCGGGTTTTACGAGGGGGCAGGTAGAAGTCAGTCGAAGCTCACCCGAAACGACGCGTATTAAATGTGTACAGGTGGAAGCTGCTCCGCCAAGAGAGCGAGAGACACGAGAGAAATCTCGGGCGCACCGTAAATCACGTCTGTGTGTAGGTTCGTGTCGAGGTACTTGGCATTGTACGATACGAAATACATTGTTGTATTACTTTTACTTTCGCGCGGAGCCGAGTCGGAATGGAATCAGCCCCCGCGTGTATACGCGCGCGGGGCTCTTTGTTTCTCGGAGCTCATCTTTACTGCGCCACGCGAGGCTGTATATTCAGTCCCTTGTTTCCGAATGATTTTACGACTCCCCTTTCCCACGGCTATACAGACATTTTATCAGTAAATTCTTGAATGTATTTTCGATTCAATGATTAATTTCTCAATTTCTGCCCGACAGTCGATCCGCACCGAGACAGCGGCCTCGTCCCTTCGAGCAAGAGAGACGTATAACCAGTGCAGCGCATCTTGATATATTAGGCCCCCACCGACGCCACGCGCCACATATGTTGTGCGGCGAGCTGCTGAGCGGTGGTCTAGCGAGCGCAGGCGCCCTCCAGGCGCCCTACTGTGGCTTGCTGCCCGGCGGCCTGAAGAATCTCGGCAGTCCCCGGCCGCTGACGGGCTCGCCCTATCTGGCCCTGCTGGTCGAGCTGCTCGCCGCGGCCGCCGCTCGAGACTCCTACGACAACGACGACGAGGAGGAGGACGACGACGAGGACGCGGAGCATAAGACACGAATCATGATGATGCAGCAGCAGCAACAGCAGGAGGACGGCAGCGCGGGACCCAACAATACGAAGATGCCCGATCGGAGCGAGCTCAAGCTGCAGCTGGACGGTGAACGGGTGGACGAGGACGTTCTGCTCGGTGAGTTTTCCATGGGATTTAATATTTTATATCGACTTGAACATAAGCAAATAATTCTATGAAAAGACCTGAAAGTTCGATCGGCTACAAGCGTGATTAAAGTTTTGGTCATTTCACGATTGTAATGAAAATGGGTAATAATTGTTCATTGTGGTCTCACCGAAAAATAAGACAATAGGTAATTAATAGTCATTTAAAAAATATAATACCTATATCTATATATTTTTGTGTTTCGTATTAGCATGATTCTCTCAAAGTTGGTGAGAGGAAGAAATTGAATAGCTACTTCAGTATGGAAAATCGAGAAAAAATAGGCTCCTGTAATAACAGTGGTAATGGGTATTATTATTATTATTTTTTTTTTGTTAAGTCAATGTATTGAGCTTAGAACACACGTACTGTACGGGGATAGATACAAACACTGTACACTAAATTGAAGGCTTACTCGGGCATGGTATGTAGCAAATATTTTGGTACAGGTTTTCGCATTGCTATCTAATGGTATAATTGTAGAAATTCAGCTCATAAACATGTTGATAGTAGAAAATACACGTGCGATACATCACTGTGTAATATTTATTCTTTACTCAGTTATTTCTTTTGTTTTAGAAAGTGATAACTTGCTAATTTGAAAGAAATACGTGTGTTTATATGCCACGTATAAGAATTTATATCTATCTCGAAATTCGAATTATGATAATTCATCTTTTAGTGATCTCAAATGAATATTGTCCAGGTACTTTCATGAAATTTACGACTATCATTTTAAAAACGTGTTGAGCGAGTACCCAATTAATGAAAAAAACATGAAAGCTCAAGGTGGCATTGATTATTTTAGTAGGTAAGAAAATTGAAAACAGACGCCCATTTACAGAGTTTTCGTTTAATTCGATTATCTGTTTATAACGATGACTTGCTCGATTAAGTGTATTCAAATTCTCAATTCATGATTTCTAAATATAAATAAATTCACGATAGATCGTTACAAGGTACAGAAATATTAGTCGTTAGCGAGATTTCAACAGAGCAAAATGGAATCGAGTGATATGCTTAATTGTGCTGTGAGGTAATTATTGTTTTATGAGTATGAATTAATAAAAATACTTGGCTAAATACTCATTTTTACTGGATCCATTTCAGAGTGAAGGAGGAAACGATTGATGTCTCATTTCTTGAAAATGAATGTGAAATGATTGACGAGAAACCCGATGTCAAAAACATCCAACTTTTACCATTTTCGTTGGAAAAACCAGTAAGTGTTTACAATTATATTATGACTAATATGAGCATTTTTCACTAATGATTTTTACAAAATTTGAATTTTATTCACAGGCTCACAAACTTCGGGAATATGACGAAAATCAAGAAACTGATATAAATGACGAAATGGAGATTGAATTCGAGTGTGTAGACGTCAAGCTCACTATGGATTTATTGGTAAATAATAAATCCGATGAATATTCTCGAAATCACTTACAGCTTACGAAATATAGCAAGGATTATCAGAATCAAAATAAAATTAAAGAGGAAACTGTGGCGGAAGTGAAAAAAGAAGTGAATTTGAATTTTGATTATGAACTTAACGGGAGAAATGAAAAAATGAATGACATTGAAAAGTTGAAAGATGGACTCGAAATAAGAACCGAAAAGGTACATAGACATGAGTGTAATATTTGCGGAAAGACATTTCCAAAAAAAAGTAATCTTAAAACACACATTGATGCGGCGCACAATGGTACCACCCATACCTGTGATACGTGTGGTAAGACATTTGCACGACTGGATGTTCTCAAACGCCACATCCTTTCGGTACATGATAAAATCTGTCATGAATGTGATATTTGCGGAAAGAAGTACTCAGATAAGGGTAATCTCAAGAAACACATCGATGTAGCGCACAATGGTATCATCCATAGCTGTAAGACATGTGGTAAGACATTTGCACAAATAGGTAATCTCATACGCCACATCAATTCGGTACATGACAGAATTACTCATGAATGTGATATTTGCGGAAAGAAGTACTCAGATAAGGGTAATCTCAAGAAACACATCGATGTAGCGCACAATGGTGTTAGACATGAGTGTAATATTTGCGGAAAGACATTTTCAAAAAAAAGTAGTCTTAAAACACACATTGATGCACACAATGGTATTGCCTTTATTTGTAGGACATGTGGTAAGACATTTGCACAACTAATTACTCTCAAACGCCACATCGATTCAGTACATGACAAAATCACACATGAATGCAATATTTGCGGAAAAAAATTCTCAGACAAGAGTAATCTCAAGAAACACATCGATGTGGCGCACAATAATGTCACCTATACTTGTGATGTGTGCGAAAAAAAATTCTCGACGAATAGTAATCTCAACGAACACATCAATGTAGCGCACAATGGTGTTAGACATGAATGTGATATTTGCGGCAAGTCCTTTACTCACAAAGGTTATCTCAAAACCCACATCGATTCGGTACATAATAAAATCATTCATGAATGTGATATTTGCGGAAAGAAATGCTTAACTAAGAGTAACCTTAAATCACACATGGATGTGGCGCACAATGGTATCAGACATGAATGTAATAGCTGCACAAAGAAATACTCGCATAAGAGTGATCTCAAGAAACACATCGATGTGGCGCACAATGGTATCACCCATAGATGTAAGACATGTGGTAAGACATTTGCACGACTTTATGTTCTCAAACGCCATATCAATTCGGTACATGACAAAAACACTCATGAATGTGAAATATGCGAGAAGAAATACTCAGATAAGAGTGATCTAAAAAAACACATCGATGTGGCGCACAATGGTGTTAGACATGCATGTAGTATTTGCAGAAAGACATATTCAAAAAAAAGTTATCTTAACACACACATTGATAATGCGCACAATGGTATTGCCCCTATTTGTAAGACATGTGGTAAGACATTTGTACGACTAGATGTTCTCAAACGCCATATGAATTCGGTACATGACAAAGTCACTCATGAATGTGATATTTGCGGAAAGAAATTCTTATATAAAATAAATCTCAAAAAACACATTGATTCGGTACATGATAAAGTAGCGTAGAAAGAGGAAAAACGATAAGACGATAGGGTGATTGCAAAAGGCACTTCCAATAAATTTTTGACTAACCATCATGAATGTTCATTGATGGTATAAGACATACATAAGAGATATGTAAAATAATATTTTAATAAATCGTTTCTCAAAGATCACATTGATACGATGAATTATTCACGATTGAAAATAAAAAAATTGTAAATTTTGTATTTAATTTTTTCAAAAAGCCATGTACGATTCATTGTATCTATAAAATGCTAATTTCAAATTTCAAATTATGTCATCTCTTTGAAGTATAACATGTAAAAATGAAATTACCTTCAAGTTTTGAAAAATGATAACATTGTTTCATACGAAAATAACTACTTGCTGCTTTTGATTTGGAATAAATCCTGAAATACGCTTTTCTATACGTCTATACGTTTCCTTATTCACTCATTTGAACATAAATTAATCAGGCCAGCCATAATTCTAAATAGAGCTAAGAAAATGTTTGTGCTTCGGTATGCGAGAAATACAGTCTTAATTACATATGCTCCGCAGGGTTGAACTTTGTATTAAGTAATTGATCGAATCGAATAATTATTACAAAATAATATTTTTCTATTACTAGATACTCAATATACTTTACATCAGGTGGGTTGAATATTCTCTATTTGCAGAGTTTTTTTTTATCGACGATTTCTGTGATCAAATAATTTCATATGGTATAGAAGCCGAAATGGCTTCATTCAGAGTCGAATGCATTTCCCTCATCATCGAGTCAAATGACGTGGATTTTTCATTAGGTATTTAATGTCCCAAGTTTGCCAGTGTTTGTGGAAAAACACGACTTTTCGTCCTCTGGAACACTAAACAAGCTATACACAGCACCTAACGAAGTTTTCATTGCTTTCAAATTTTTCTATATTTCTGGTACCCAAATGAACAATTATCCACGTTGATTCCGCGTCAGAATTAAAATCGAAATTTTAGTCTCGATTTTTAAGGATTTTTCACTATAGAACTGCTCACCCACATATGCCAGATGCCAGTGTACGCTCGACTAATTATTTGGCCCCGAGACAAAATTAAATTATTTTACTATTTTCATATACAAACGTAAGCAGCACACATGTACATGGGTGTGCTCGCTGGCTCGTGGAAACTCAAACGCGGGGCAAAAAATCAACGCGCGACACACGCACGCTGTACGCGTTTAGTTTTACTCGGCGGGAAAATATTCACGTCGAAAAACAGGCGTAAATGGAAAAATGTTGCCCCGGTTGGGCGCGCGCGCTCAGGCAAAATTCAGTTTTAATTAACAAAGCTCGTTATGACGTGCTGCACGCCGCGAGCCCGCAGGCTCTTCAAAATAAAACAAGCGAAATTATAATTGATTTAATGTCCTCTAACAACCACTGCGCTAAAACAATGAACCAAAGGTCACGCGTATTTAAAACCTGCATACGATTTCAAAAGTGGTTATCCGCGAGTGAAAAAGACGGTAATCGGCAGCGGAATTTTCGTAGCTCGCTACATGGCTCGGATAAGCGTTAGAAAAAAAACTCGAATCACAGTTATTTTTTAACAGGCGTATTTTCGGTACGGTATTATGCGTTTAGGGCAAACAAACGGAAGGAGAGAAAGAGCGAGGTGCTCGAATTTAAGTGACCGAATTTTTTTCGAGCGAGTTGGCAAAGTTAACGAACTCGCTCCGGCTCTCTCTCTCTGTGTAGCGTCGAAGAAAGCTCTTTCTCTCTCTCTCTTGACGTGCACTTTAACGCGTGCTACTACCAGTGCTACTACTAGCATATAAGCTACTGCAGAAAATTAAAGCACGAAGCGAAGAAAAAAAAAGGGGGGGAAAAAAAAGACTCGTCCGAGATTATGCACGCGCCTGCTTTAGCTTCGCCGCTTTGTACTCGATTGCCGTGAAACAAGTCGTTTATTTCACTCTAATCAACTTGGCAATCCGGGGGAAAAAATAATCTCGAAGGAGCTGCCGAAAATTTAATAGATTGTTTCTTTTTCCTTTTTCTCGTTGTTAACGACATTGAAATTTTTCATTTAGATTTTTCAGGGTAGAGAATAGCTAGCCAGTGTACTTATAAGTACCCTGATAGAAATATACAATAAAATAATAATAATAATGGCCTTATGACCAAATATTATACCACTAATTAGTGTTTTTGGCGATTTTTTTTATTATCATGTTAAAAATATTAAGCGCATTTTAAACGATCGGAAAGTAACAACTAAATAATTTGAAAAAATTGAGCCCATTTCTCAAACACTTTTAATACGATGATAGTATTTTCAGTCTCTACCACTAGATGTCGAGTACCAATTTATTTGTAAATCTGCAAGTGGCAAAGTGAACATAATTATATAAGTTGAATGTTGTCTGTTAATTACATTTTTAAATTTAAAATTAGTTATCAATTATTAAATAGCAGAGAAAACGTAGAGCATCAAATGTCCATAAAATCTTTTCTCTCTTTTCTCATTTTTACCTAACATCATTGCTAATTTCACCTAAAATTGGATAATAATGCCAGGTTTGAATGTCTCGTTTACAGATCACGCAGTCGCGCTCAGACAATTCAATTAAACCAATGCTCACTCGGTAAATCAATGAATCGATCAAAAATCAAACGAATGCGTTAAAAAGAAAAGGCGAGACGCGCCGCGGCCTGCTGCTGTGTACCTCGGCCTTATGAAATAACAACGAGGGACAAAAAGTGAATTGTCTGCCTTGCGCTACGGTCGCACTACTGAATTTCAATTTCGGACGCGCGCGACTGTGCGACAGCAGCAGCAGAACTACTATACTATGTGCGCGTGGGGGCATAAATATTCCAAAAGCATCTCGTCGTCGGCACACACACACACACACACACACACACACACACACACACAAGCGTATATTTCGCGACACGAGGCTCGGTGTAGCACACGGAAAACGCCGGTGAACGACCGCGAAACAGCGTACAACGCATATAGCTCTTAAATGAACTATTTCATTTTTGAAATGTGGAGCATGATTGCTGCGTGTCGTTCCTCATTGTCTCGGAGTCTCTCGCCATCGCTCTTCTTTCTCTCTCTCTCTCTCTCTCTTTCGCTTCGCTTTGAAATGACTCAATTGCATAGGAAAAAAATTCGTCTTTCACGCTATTTTGTCGCTGAAAATGCAATTAACATGATATTAATTTTGTTGACAGTTTCGCAATTTTTTACATCGCGTTATTAAATTTCTGAACAATAAGCTATACAATGTATCTTTTCGAAACTAATACATTTGGTTTTTGTGAATATTCGAATAAAACTCTTAAAAAGCAGTATTGTGAATGTAGATGAAATTTATTATTAAAAATTAATAAATGCAACTCAGCAGATTTTTACAAATAATCCAAAATTGTTAAACCAACGATCAAAATAAACTTATTAATAAATAATCGTCGTCAAAAATCTGCGTTAATTAACAGGGTACAAGTATTCACTAGCAGCAATGCAATAACGTTTTCAATTCGTTAGCGGAAATTGTTCGAAGGGTGAGTCAAGCAATTCTAACTTCCTATCGACAAGCGGCCCAGATTTGCTTCTTTGAATTTTCTGTAAAAGTTTTCTTGATGAAGCTGAAAAATCTTCTGCATTAATTTACGATTTTCTATCGGTATACCTTCATTCATTGTTCATCGATTGTGGTAATTTTTTTTTCATTACATGCTCATTTCTGATTTACATAGCTCGGTGCTGCTGTCACTCGAGGATTTTTTCTGGCTTCCCTCGGTAACTGTTTTTTTTTTTTTTATATTTTTTAGGTCACTGAAATCTGATTTTGAAGTTACCAAGCTGAATATAACTCGTTTAATTATATTTTTTGGTCTTCTGCATGAAACTAGAACTGAACTAGCTAAATACTTACTCATGCAGGTAATTATTATTTGATTATTTAATTACTTCATGACTGGGACCGGGGAGTTTAAATCCCATTCTACCCTGAAGCAAATTCTACAAAAATTTGGAAAAGATGTAGAAAATATACACGAGATTTATCATTGCGTCAGAATCATTCGTTCTGAATTATTTTTTGGACTTTAAATAGTTAGATATTTTATGGATTGTATTGCATAAGAAGCGGTCAATTTTATGAAAGGAAAATTGCATCGAATAGATACTGCATAAAATCTATTGTATTTCGATTTCCACATGCAACGAAACTTATGATGAAATCAATTTTGGAGTTTGAGCCGAATCCGTGATTTATTTTATCTAACCATTGATGTTTGTTTAGTCGAAAACTTCGGCTTCGTGCCGAAGTTCCGAGGTTAACGATTGTTACTATACTATGATATTAACAACAATAAATAAAGAAAACGACTAATTAAGGGAAAAAGCCATAAAGGCATAAAAAACCCAGTTTATCGTTGAATAGAGGTGTGAAAGGTAAAAAGCTCAGAGCTTTTACTGAAAGCAAGAGAAAAATCGAGAGAAAGAGAAAGCGAAGCGAGATGTTCAGAGACGAGAACAGAAGTGAGAAGATCGCGAGCCGGCCGGCGTAAACAAAATTATCCCCCTTAGCAACGCGAGACATCGACTCTCTTTCTCTCTCTCCTTCTTGCCTGTACATATGATTGACTGCTCAAACAATGTTCTTAATCGAGGTTTCTTAGTATCACGAAAAAATTTGCAAAAATGTCCGAACCGAATCGAAAAAAATGATGAGATAGAGAATATAAATGACTAAATACACATCAATAACAAAAACAAAATAAATAATTAAGGAATAAATACTTGTGACGCAGTGATGTGCATAATGTGTATTTTCTAATATCGTTATGTTTAAAGCTAAATAATTATAATTCATAGTACCAGATAGCGATGCGAAAACCTGTATCAACATTAGGCGAGTGTTAGCTTTATATCATGCCTGAGTATGCATTTAATTCAGCTTACAGTATTTTTTTTGACATCGTAAGTAATTGAAATGACTCGATTCGCAAGATGAATAAACAAAGCAAAATACTACCCAATCCCACTGCTATTGCAGAAACCTACTTGATGGATCACTATACGATGCCTGAGCAATCTTTCAATTAAGAAAGTTGAGTTTAGTTGTACCGTCGTATATGTATTACGACGCAATTAACAAGACCAATACACTGAATTTATAAAAAAAAAAAAAAAATGAAAATAATAACCATTATTCCCACCTATTGTTTTGTATTGTTTTGTTTTGTTTTATTTTTTAATCAGTGCAACAGCGTTCATTACACACTTATGGTGATGCAGTGACACGTTGTTACACTTAAATGAAGATATACTTCAGCAA